GCACTGTGTTGGCTTTTTTGGCAGCTGCAGCACACTGCTGGCTCATATTTAAATGATTGTCCACTAGGACTCCGAGATCCCTCTCACAGTTACTACTATTGAGCAAGGTACCCCCTATACTATACCTGTACATTTGGTTTTTCTTGCCTAAATGTAGAACCTTACTTTTTTCACCATTGAATTTCATTTTGTTAGATAGAAAATAGTGAGGCTAGCTTATTTCTAGTCCTTGTTTCACAATTGGAAGTTATTATTTGTTACTCCTCTCTAAAAATGATAAAATTGCAAATGTAAACTAAATGTGAACCTGATTTTTTAGGATAATTTTTTAGAATACAAATGAGGAAATTTCACAAAGCAGGTTGAAATATATTTTTGAGCCTTCAAGTCAAAATGACAAGTTTCCCAGACACAGAAATTTAACTTCAAATTGCTTTCAGAGAACTACAACACTGTATTAGCATCTTCTGTTTTCCTAAACATGCTGCTTTTCAATAGGGGCCCTCTATAACTTGTGAAGCTGTTGGCATGCTCTGCAAATGTACCCTTTGCTTTGTGCTTAAGGTCATGCCCCAGTACCAGCATCACATTGTGGGAAGATAAAAAATAGATTATCACTTGATGTATCAGTGTTAGTTTTAGCTAATGCAGCAGTGAAATAAATTTTCCTGTTCACTAAATGTCTCACGGAGGTTAATGAATGCATATTGTAATTTTATGTTCCTAAACAATTATTGTGCTACTCCTTTATGGAAAGCCTCTTTTGGTATTTTGAAATCACTACTGATTCAGAAATTTAAGGAAATATGTGTGTAGTTTGAAAATACTTAATTAAAGTAGTAATTTAAATTATGCTTTCATCTTTGTTCTTGGCAGGATGAGATTTTCTCTGTACTGTCCATTTAAGGGTTTTCAGTAAAAGCAAGATTTCAAAAGTAACATAATCTACCTGGCAAGTTCCAGAGAAGTGGACACAATATCTGTGGTATACACAACATAGTAAATATAGTAAACACAACACAAGGCACTGCCAGATACCATAACCAACACAGCATAGGCAGAGAAGTAACATATAGATGCTGTTGGAAGTGATCCAGCCATAGTTAAGCACCATTTTATGTCTTGCTTAGTATAGTAAATATAAATATATATTTTCCTATATCTTAACATAATAGAAATTTTGGCTGAATATTTACCCTAATGTATTTTAGTTATTTAAATGTAGACATTTGAGATTCAGATAAACACATATATACAGAATACTATACTGAGATATAAAAGGTATATTAATATGTTTCATCAAGGAATTATTTTTCACATTAATTTATGACATCACAAAGCAAGTTCCTCTCTTACATACTTCTGTATGTAAGTATGAATAGGGTGGAATTTGTGTTGCAATGCATACCTTGTCATTTGCTGTCCCTATGGGTATTAGCTCCCATTGTTTATGTCAGCATCCCCAAACTTTTACGGCTCCATAGACCAGTGGGGAGGTTAGTGGATGCTTTTGTGCATGCAATCTAATCCCACACATGTGCAAATGTAGCTTTGCCTGGTTGCCAGTTCTAGGCCACAGACCTGGAGTTGGGGACTCCTGGTTTGTGTGATGTTTTTTCCCCAAAGTTGCAGTAGCTTACATCTGAAAGCAATAATATAGAGGATTATTTTGAAAACTAGTGCAATATATTGCTTGAGATACTGGACTGGGACAGTTAGATTCAAGTTCTCCCTTGAATAAGGAACTCATTTTGACCAGTCACTGTCTCAGTCCAATTATTTTGGGTGATATAATGAGGAGTTTGTCCATGTATACTGTTTTGAGATCTTAGTGAAAAGTTGAGATATAAATGTGACTATAATAGATTAGAATCAATGCATCTGATAAGGCTGTATGGAGAAATCTCTTTTAATTGAATAATGTTACTGATTTTACATAGCTTACTGTTTTATGGCTGTCTTGCATATTATGGGCAACAAAAGCGTATACTGTGAAATAGAAAATTACAGTTGTACATTGGTATTCCTGAAACATGATGTCTTGATCTCCCAAGGGAATTTTTCAACAAAAGATTTATGTTAATTGGTTCAGTACCGACATATCTGAACCTGCAAAAAATTAATAATTCTGTGTTCTCTCTCTCTGCTATATATAAATATTAAAAGTGTGCAGCCATGACTTCATATTTCTGTGGCTCCTCTATATATAGTTCTATTGCTGATTTGTTTTCAAATTCCTTCACGTTATAAAAACTGATGATCAAAAGAAGATTAAACATCAAATAACATTGCTTTATAATTCTTTACATTTTCCTTTTCAGCCAGTTTGTTTCTATAATACGAGTCTGGATTTATGTTTTGCATTGTTTTATGGGATATGAGAAGTATTTGCATTTAGACATAGCTAGAATGAGTGCAGTTTATTCACTTAATTTAAATAATATCAGAGTATGCTTCATGCAAGATTTTTCTAGGAGACTCTTGGAAGAAATGAGAGTATGATTCCTGCAGGCTGTTCAGTCAACAGTCCTGGCTCTACACAGTTTGTGTAGAGATTGTTGTTATACTGTATGACTATCAATAATCCCTGCATTTAATAGGTTCTGGGATAAGAAAAAATCAGTATAACAAGCAGTGATACTAATTTTTAAAGAGGCAATCTTTTGTGAATTTTATTCTATGCTTTTAGTGGGCTTTGGTTTTCAGAAGTTAATTTTTCGTTATGTGAGCTCAGTATGCAGGAATGAATGTTGTATTCTTTGACATATTTATTGCTTGAGTAATTTTGTAGGATGGTCTGTTATATTAATATAGCAGTTAATCTCACTGGAATGCTGCAAAGTGTTATAAAATGGTTATAACTTCCTTAACAATTTTAAGTTGTAGGCAAGAGCCGGATGCAACTTCAATCGAGCAAAAAGCAAGCTAAAGAACAATCTTCCTTCTATTATTAACGCTTGTTCTTTCATTTAAGTGTTAAATCTAATAATTTGTAATTAACAGCTTTGTTGTATGCTCTCAGTGCACCTGTGAAAAGAGGGTATTGCTCAAATTCTGGTGCATTGTGAATTTCCTGAATGTAAATCAAAGGCAGTGCCTGCTGCGGATGGCAGCACTGATAGAGAGAAAATGCAGCTCTAATCAAAGCTATTCCCCACCCCTTCTTTCTTTCAGTCCCTTGAGGTTTTATTCATTTTTCTCTTTGTTGTTTATCTCCTTCGCCAAATTAAAGCTGGATGATGAAGTGACCACTGTTCAAATGAGGGAACTGGACCAAGATGTGCTGGTGCTTAGGAGAGTGTTGTCACAGAGCCCAGCCCCCACATTGGGGAGTGCCGAAAATGATCGGAGGTAAGAGTTTTTCCTTCGGTCTCAGACTCAGCTAGAGTCACGCTGACGCAGAGCTCTCAGCAGCTAGCTGAATTCGGTTGCTGGCAACCAGAGTGAGAAGGCAGCCTTGAGGGAATGTCATTTTCATTTGCCATACAGTATGGGAAGTTCGAGACTAAGGATCTTTGACCCTCACATAGGGAAGAAGGACTCTGCTTTGTTTCCAGGCAGAGAACTGCCTTTGCACACATTCGATGTGCCTTATTTTAAATACATTGATGAAGAAGATGAGGAAGATGAATGGAGCAGCCGTTCTCAGTCTTCAATAGAGGATGACTCTGTGGACTCTCTCCTTTCTGACAGATATGTTGTGGTGTCAGGGACACCAGAGAAGATTTTGGAGCATCTCCTGAATGACCTGCACCTAGAAGAAGCACAGGACAAAGACACAGGTACATTATAATAACATCATGCTCACAAAAAGCATTTTCTCTGTATCCATTCATGTTCTTAGCAAACACAGTTGATCAGCTACTATGCAAATATGTATAATATGGTATTTTTCCTACCAGCATTTTACTTAAAATTATTATAATTATACAGTGTTTTGGATAATACTATTTCATATGCAAAGCATTCATAGTAACATCTTATTGTGTTAATATAGTGCATCTATATTTAACAATAAAAAAAATCAAACTTGAAAATGAAGGCTTTTTAAAAAAAAGTTCCATTAACTTTCAGTACCTATATATATATCTTGATAGATAAAAGAAAACAATTTAGCAATGTGTGTGTAATAATGAAGCAATTGGAAGATAGCAAGCTGAGTTATATAGCTGTAGGGTTTATAAGTCAGCAATTATTTAAAGTACTCCAAAGCTACTTGTTTAGTATCAACTGTTTCTTAATTTTTTTTAGCATTAATAGCTTACCCACATCACATAATGTGCAACAGAATAACCTCCTTTAGTAATTGGCTGCCTTCAGCTAGAGATTGTACTTTTGTTTCAGCCTGGAGCAATTACTATATTGATCAGGCTGCTTGACGGGCAGGTTATTTTTCAGCTTGATCTTCTAGCTCTAATGCTGTCACCAACGCTCTTTCAGTAGTTTATCAAGACCACCTGCAATTTATTTACAGTTTTAATTAAAGTAGACTTAGCTGTCTTGAAGCATTCCCTATAAAGTTGAAGAAGGATTGTGAAATACAGAAAGCTGGAAATGGAATTAATATTTTTATTGTTCTCAGAGGAATGCTGTTTCCCAAATGAGATTATTAAAAATAAACACATTTGGAAGAATTAAAAAGATTAAAGTATAAATAACATTTACAAATTCTTAGGCATTCCTGAGTCAGATTTTTCTATCTGCAGATCAATAGGATATAGTTAGGCATAAGGTATTTGTGCTTACTGCACTGTGTAGGTTTTCTAAATTATAAATAGAAAGAAAGACCTAGTGTTTGATTTATTGTACAGTTCACTGATCTACTTCTCTGTGAATAGGGATTAATACTTTGTGCATGGAAACCATGCCTATGTAATTGCTGTGCTTCCTCGGGTATAATAATAGTAATGTATGTAATTTCTCTAGCATCAAATCGTAGGCTGTATAAAAAGTGGTGGTCCATGTCAGGATTGTCTTAGCTAGGCACCATGAATCCCACTGTGTTTTTAACATTTGAATATTTGTATGGAGTGATCTCTCCTATAGACTCCTGTTAAATCTTATTGAACACATTGGACTCCCCAATCATTATGCATTATGGTTGCTTGTTTTTAACATCTGAAAAAAGTACAAATTAATATTTCTCCAGTAATTCATTCTTACTTTCCTGTTCCCTTTTCCATTTCTCAGACTTATTCCAGTGCTCATTAATACTATATGTCATATTTCCAGATTAAGGTGAAAAATAACTATCCAGGCATAACTGGCTACAATGAAATATATTCAGTGATATATTTCCCTGAACGTTTTTGCAAATATCCTTACCTCTCAAAAGAGTTGACAATGACAAGCTTGTTGTATGATCAATGCAGTTCTAATAACAATAAAAGAACACAACATTTATGTATTAAAATAAATAAATAGCTGTAGTGGTTGACCTCAGTATATTTGTAGATGCAGATATAACAGGTGATGTGCGAAAACACATTTTGATGGTGGTTGCTCTGGAGCAATATCCCGTATTAGTTATAGTTTCTTCTAATACAGGTAATCCTTGACTTACAACAGTTCATTTAGTGACCATTTGAAGTTACGACAACACTGAAAAAAAGAGACAACCACTTTTCACACTTACAGCCATTGCATGGTCACATTCCTATGGTCACATAATCAAAATTCAGATGCTTGGTAACTGACCCCATATTTATGATGGTTTCAGGATCCCTGAGTCATGTGATCCCCTTTTGTGACCTTTTGAGAAGCAAAATCAATAAAATACTTTTCCAAACAGTTAAGAAAGGGTCATAATTTTTTTTCCAAGGAGCTCTTCTAGTCTTTAGAAGCTGTTTCTGCTTATCAGTGCATGTGTAGGCACAGTTACAGAGACAGCAAAGATTAATGTGCTTGCAGAAATAGCCAAGAACAGTTTTCAAAGCAGCTGTAGCAGTCTTGCAAAAGTTACTAATACTCTACAAAGTACGTTTTTTAAAGGATTAGAGTTACCTGACAAAAAATCAAAAGCTGCTGAAAGACTCAACATGTAAGTGTATTAGGCCAACACGTTACTGTGATTTGCAAAACATGATAAAATAGTTGAACACTTTATGCTGAAGCCAAACAAATCATTTTATAAACTGCAGGTAGTCCTCAACTTACAACAATTCATTTAGTGACCATTCAAAGTTACAACAGCATTGAAAAAAGTGACTTATGACCATTTTCACACTTAACGACCGTTGCAGCATTCCCCATGGTCATGTGATTTACATTTGGATGCTTGACAACTGACTCGCATTTATGATGGTTGCAGTGTCCCAAGGTCATATGTGATCACCTTTTGTGACTTCCTGACAAGCAAAGTCAACGGCGAAGCCAGATTCACTTAACAACCATGTTACTAACTTAACATCTGCAGTGATTCACTTAATAACTGTGGCAAGATAGGTGGTAAAATGGGGCAAAACTCACTTAACTAATGTCTCACTTAACAACAGATATTTTGGGCTCAATTGTGATCATAAGTCAAGGACTACCTGTACTTCTAAATAAAGGAAGAACATGAAAAGCATTCTTCATTGGTGCTGTGAATACATCCATTCTAGGACCCTCAATCAATAAAGGATCTCCTAAATATTCTAACATTTGCTAGTGAAATACTAACATTTAGGCAGGTTTCAGTTGGATGACAGATCTGAACATGTAAATGACAGCAATAGCATTTAGATTTATATACCACCCCATAGAGCTTTACAGCACTCTCTGGGCAGTTTACAATGTACAAGCATTATTTGCATATTGCCCCCAACAATCTTGCTCCTCAATTTACTGACCTTGGAATAATGGAAGGCTGAGTCAACCTTGAAACCCATCAGGCTCAATTCCAGGCTATGGGCAGAGTTTGCCTGCAATACTATACTTTAAACACTGTGCCACCAGGATTCCTAAATGATGAACTGGATGCAACTGCTGAGAAGGTATCAGAAGGCATTCTTCAGGCCCCTTTGGCTATTTAAGTTCAGAGAAGTCAGCCATTGTTGTTCCTTTTGGATTAATTGGATTATGCCTACTCTTACATTCACTCTCTTCTTATGCTGCATGGGAAAGAACCTAACTACTGATCACACAAAATGTTACCTGATTATTTCCTGACAGCCTGATGAGGTTTTGGAAGCATTTTGTCCTTTTTGTTTTACAGTGATTTATTCAATTTGAGCTTTACCTTAGGTAGCAAATGAGTGCATACAATATATACGGTAGTAAACTTAAGGCAGAGTTCAACCACCAGTTGGGAGCTTTTTAGACAATATTTAGCTCAATATTTATACTAATATGCTGTATACCTCCAAAAAGGAAAGATTTGTGCAATATTTTACATGCTTTAATTCTATAGGCAAATTCATAGTATTTAACAAGCAAATTGATGACTAAGATATAGAAAGTCCATAAAAAGTTAAGATTTATTCACATCTCTAACTCATTTTTAGCTATTTTGATAGATGGTGCTTTTCTAAGGCCTTGGGTAAAAGTCATTCATTGTGTGGACTCCAAGGTTTAATTACAAATATTAGACATTAGAAAATCCAAATAAACTGTCCTTAAGTAATTAAAGTCTACTGTTTCAAATACATGCTTTGAAAAAAATGGAAAGTCTTTGATTCTTGATCTTCCACTATATTCCTTGATCACTCAATTTATATGAATGACATTAAATATATTCATTATAAGAAATAAAAAGGAAGAGGATTAGAGATTGATGTAAACTAGCTGCCATATGAACTTATAGCTGGCTTAAGAAATTGTAGACATGCACTTACCCAAATGGATTCTAAAGCACTTTTTTTGTGTTTGAATCTAAAGCGCTAATGAAAAACCTGCCACTGCTGATTTTAGTTGGAAGAGAAAAGGCTTGAAGTCTTAGATGAAAGGAGTTGAAGTTTTTTCATAACCTTGCTGTGTTTTATCAGATACAGCCAATTATAGTACTAGAAGAATAATGTACTGTATATCATCTTTAATTCAAATCAAGGGAATCTTTTTATAATATTTAATACTAAGTAAGTTTCTTATAAGATACAGCAGATTTATCTAAAAAAAATTCAGAAAGTTATTTCAGCTTTGAGCTTGATGAATTATATGAAATAAGGCATTTTGTTTAAATCAGTTTTAGCAAACATACAAGACCATGATCCGTGATTGGTGTTACACCCCCACTAAAATTAGTTCTCTAAATAATAATATTTTAAAATGGTTGTAGTGAAGTAGTAGGCCAACTAGTACATAACTTCATTTTTTTTAGAAATCAGAATAGCAAATTCTATTAGTTTGTTGAACAAATTATATAAATTGATGCCAGGTAAAAGAAATTAAATAATTTTCTGTTATTAACTGCTATATTTATTACCACACAAAAAAAATCACAAAATCTTTTGCATCAGTGGTAATTGAAAAATTACTTAGACTGAGATATAGCACAACAACAAAGACGTTTGTAGTATCCTATGGGTAGGATAATTTCCTTTGGATGTGGTTACAAGCTCCTAGCTATATTGTCAAGGATTTTTCTTATCAATTATTTTTTCTTAATCTGTCCAGGTTAAAGTTTGGGTAAAAAAATTTGAAAATGGATATTTTAATGTTGGTGTTTCTGCTTATTTGTGAACTTGTATTTCCTTTTATTTGTGAATGTACATATCACAAGTTTCTGGTATTTTTTCCCTTTTATTTATTTGCATGTTGCCTTTATTGTTTTTACAAATAACTCAAGGTGGAGAACATACCTAAT